GGGGGGGGGGGAAGGAGCAGCGGCTGCGAGAGTGGCGCAGGAGTGGCGGGCAGGAGCGCTGAGGGACGCCGGGGCGTAGAGGAAGTGGGCGCGTGGCCGGCCGATCGGGGGCCAGGCCCGAGGCGTCCAAAGGAAGGCTCGAGCCACTGCCGCCTAGGCGCCGTGGATGGCCCAGATGGACTGCAGCAGCTCCAGGCCCGCGCGGTCGTCGCCCGATCCGCCGCGCTGCGTCTGCGTGGCCAGGGGGGGTTGGGCCGGGGTTTGGCGCGCGATGAGGGATTGGAGCCCTCGCATGGCAGGCCCCTCTGGCGGTGGCAGGGCGGCGCGAGCCTCCCAGCCCCTTCAGCGGTGGCAGGGCGGCGCGAGCCTCCCGGCCCCTTCAGCGGTGGCAGGGCGGCGCGAGCCTCCCAGCCACCGCAGCGGGAACCGGTGCGACCCTCGCCCCAAACACCCTTTGCGACCTGAGCCTCTCCTCTTCTCCCACGCGCTCCGGCCCTGCATTCCTCGCCGCCGCCCCTCACAACACCCCCCCCCCAACCTCACAACACTCCCCCCCCCCGAACAAACTCACCGTGCTGCGCGCGCCGTCCACGGGCGTGGCCCCCCCGCTGCGTGCGGCCCCGTCTTCCGCCGCGCGGGTGAAGATGGGCGCCAGGTCGGGCGCGGCGGGCTCCGGCGCGGGGCTCGCACCGGCGCGCTGCTCGGGCGTGGGGTCGTACCAGCCCGCGGGGATGGTGGGAGACAGGTCCTCCCCCGCCTCCCCCGCCAGCAGCTGCTCCATGGCGCGCGGCAGCTGCTTGATGCGGTGCGCCTGCGGTGCCGTGTAACCCCCCCGCGAGGTGGAGGAGAGGAAGCCCGAGGGCAGCGACGCGCCGCTGGGCAGGCGCGGCCCCGGCGCCGCACGCTTGGCGCTGGCCTGCAGGGCGGCGGGCGCGGGGCGCTCGCCAGGGCCCGGCCCCGCCGCCCCAGCTGCGGCACGCAGCGCGGCCAGCGCTGCCGCGTGCCCCGCGCCGGCGGCTGCGTGCTGGTAGAACGCTGCGCCGTGGGGTTCGGACGCTGCTCCGTGGGGGCCGAACGCTGCGCCGTGGGGGCCGGACGGTGCGCCGTAGGGGCTGGACGCTGCGCCGTAGGGGCCGGACGCTGCGCCGTAGGGGCCGGACGCTGCATCGTGGGGGAAGGTAGCTGCGGCGCTCGAGCACGGAGCGGGGCCGTGCGGGTAGGCCCCCCCCGCCGGAGGGTAGCACGGGCCCCCCTGAGCAAAGGCCGCCGCGCCAGGCGCGGCGTGCGCCGTTCCCTGGAAGCCGCCGCTCCTCGCCTCGGGCCCCGCCGCCCCAAACCGCTGCTGCAGCAGCATGCTCTGCAGGACCGCGGCCTCGTACAGCCCCGCCTGTGGGTGCCGCCCGCTCGGCGCCGCCTCCTGGCCGGCCAGGCTCAGGCCCTGGAGCTGGGCCATGACCAGGTCGTACCCGGGGTCAAAGCCGGGCGCCGGCACCGCGGGCTGCATCGGGTACCCCGCCGCGGCGGCCGCGTGGGGCCAGCCGGGGCCCTGCTGCCAGCCCATCCCCGCGTGCCCTGCAAACACGCATGGTGCAGTGTGATGAGTTGGACGCGGGAGGCGATTCTCGCAGACAGGTGTGCGCGCGACCGGAGAGTCTGCCTCAGAGTTCGGGCTCCTCCACTCCACACCCACAACTCCTGGCAGTGGCCAGCCCGCACAGCACCCAGGCTCCACCAGCACATGCATGTATTACTCACCGCTGTGCTGCCCCCCTCCACCCTGCAGCATGTCCAGCTCTGCGCCAGGCAGCGGCCAGCCCGCCAGCTCGCCGTTCGCCCGGAGCGCCTGGCTCTGCAGAGCTCCGACCACGGCCTCCAGCGAAGCAGGCCCGCCATACGCCGCGGGGGCGGGGTGCAGGTATCGGCAAGCATCGCCACGTAGGCATCGGCCCCTGGGGATAGACATGGGGCAGAGTGTCTGTGATGCAGGTGCTCCAGCGAAAGGCACTGCCCCGGGTGGTAAAAGCCCACAACCCCAAACCTAGTAATCTCCCCTTGGGTTGCCCAGGGGACCCGCCCACGGCATGCATCTGCTCGGCGTGGGTGCTCCCGACGCGGCGCACGCATTACTCTCAACCAGTCACCCTGCGCACCGGGTGTAGTCGACGCAAAGCACGTTGAGTTGCTTGCCGGCACCCCTGGGCCCGTACAGGATGGAGGCGTAGTCGTGGGAGTAGCGGCAGGCATCCCCCCGCGTGCACTGGTTCTTGACGAAGTCGTAGCAGATGGGGGCGAAGCGGCGCCGGCCGTTCCCCGATTCCTGTTTGGACATGGATGAGAGGGTGCATCGCATCGATCTGGACAACGGGATGCGCTTATCAATCAGCATTGGGGCGACACCGCGGTTGAGACAGGCCTCGGCCTTCTCCAGACGAGCTAGAACAGTGAACTTGCAGCGCTAGATGCCGACCATGTATTTTGGCACCCCGGTGGGGGCCAAGTCTCAGCGGGCATCAGGGCAGAGCGCAACCCTGTTCCTTCCAGGATGTTGTGCAGCGGGCTGCCTCACCTGGGGTGCCTGCAGGTTGGTGAGGTCATGGGAAAACCGGCACATGAGGCCTCGGTTGCACAGGCCCTTGAGGAAGTCGAAGCAGATGCCCTTCTCCTCGGAGTTCACTGCAATGATGTGGTCGACAGAGTGGGAGTACTTGCAGGCTGCTCCCCGGGTGCACATCCCTTTCGTGAAGTCGAAGCAGATCTGGCGTTTGAGCTCCTGCGCCTCAGCCGACGCATCGATGCTGGCTCTTGGGGAAGGGTTGGAGGACCGTGCCTCGCTCTTGAGGGGAGGGCTCAGCGATATGGGGACGGGGAAAACAGGTTCAGAGGATGCCTGCGAGTGGATTGGGGAGGGGTGGGGCGTTAAGGGCCGGAACTCGGCTCTGCGGGGTCTGACAGCTCGGTGGGTGGCGGAAGGGACACGCCCACGCGTCATCCCGGTCGGAAGCATGGGAGCGTATCAACGGTCGCGAGCGGACGACGCGAAGCCTGCAAGAGGCTTACCCCGTTGCTCGGGGCATCATAAGTGGTACCACGGTTCACATCCAAGGATGCAGCTTGTGCACTTGCACCGGAAGACGATGGGTTCGGGACCTCCTGCTCGGTCCAAGCGCCATCCATGCTCTAACAACGACTGCCCCCGAGGGGTAACTCAACACATCGCTATGCTCTTATTCGAGACCACACAGCAACAACATGAATACTGATGCAGTGGTGAAGGGCATTGTTGCCATGAGGTCGGAGGCAACCTTCAACAGCTGTTGAAGGTACGCCCGGGGAAGAAATTGAAATCCCCGAGGCACAGCGCGGGAATCGACCCTGGCGGTGTGACAGCTGGTGGTCTGTCCGACTCATCCATGGAACTTACAGATGATTTCACGGTACGCGTCGGCACACCCGCAAGCTGGGTTTCGATAGGAATGACAATCCTCCTTTGGCAGAGTACGGCGACTTGGTTTGCCGCATGACAAGTCCGTTAGGTTGCGTACACACAGTGCGCTCCCGCGCTGAGAGCAGTGTCTCTACATTGCCATTCCCAAGCTTTGACAGCAACACTCGGAGTGGAGCCCTGGAACATCCTATCGCCTGTTCATTGCGATGATGGGGGTCATGAGCGCCCTCTGGATGCGGCGAGAGGCAGCCCTGGACGAGGGTGAAGTGTACATGCTCAGTCCTCGATCATGCTGCAATTCTCTATGCCATTCGAAAATGGTAGCAGTTTTCTGAGCACATACCTGTTCCTGCTCAGCCTGAAGGCGGCTGGTGAGGGCCCCGGATGCGACGGCCGAGATGGGGGCGCCTGCAGCAGCCAAGCACCAGGAGGGCACCACTCGATGGGACGAAGGTGACTCGACACAACCCAAATCTCCACATATCTCTAACGCTAAAACCCGTACCATGCTCACCTTGGAGCCAGGGCTGATGACGCAGGTCGCATCGTCTGCCCACCGTGGCCGAACCCATGGTTGCGGGTCCACGACACCTTCCCAGGCATTTGCTGGGTCATCCACCCAGTCTACCTCGCCTTCGATGTCGACCGTAATGTCATACCTGACTCGTACATCTGCAACCATCGACTGGTCACCCTCGATGGCTTTCGGTGCGACCGACATGTCCACACACGGGCTGTCCGCTTGCCGACAGACGTTCAAGGAATACAGGTGTAAAGGACAAATGGTTCATTCAAATGGCAAAATGAGCCATGCACATGCATTAAAATGCGCAACGCGGCGGCAGCCAAAGGTCTTCAGAGCTTGGGATGTGCCAGCTGCGCTTGCAAGAAGTCTCGAAGGGTAGTCAGGTCGTGACCCGCCAGCTGGGGCACGACATGACCTCGAGTGTGATTGATGACGATTGGGTTGTCAAACGATTCGATGAGATGGTTCGTCATCTGATTGGAGGTTGGCAGGGGAATTGGAGCATTCAAGTCTTTTGCCATGAGTAATTCTCGACATGCGGCAACTCTGAGAACAGGTTCATGCAAGCGTCCACCTTCACAGCACCGAGAGTCTTGTAAGACTCACATTCTTTATTGGATCACGATCTCCTACAATGTGGCAGGACTCCACGTCGTGCAGCGAGCCATAGAGGTACTCCAGGTCCTTCATCCGAAGTCTGCAGGAGGGAAGCACATTTTGGGCATGCCCAACTCGGCATCAGACGGTTTCTACCACAGCAAATGATTCAGGCACGAGCGGTTCATTCAGTTCAATGGACCCCTTCGCACAGCGCTCGGATTGTGAACGTAACCAGTAATGGAGGTCACTCATGCATGCCATGCCCATGCTCACTTGATTCCTGCAAACGCCAGGATGAACTTCAGACGGGGAAACTCCTGGAACCTCTCCCCACTCCTTTGGAGGGCCACCACCAAGGAGGCCATCGCGCCCCCTTGGCTGAACCCCATCACACCTGCGAGTGCACCAGAGCGTTGCTTCAGGCCAGCAACCTTGACGAGAGGGTGCAGAAGTGGTCACAGGAAACTTTGGCCAGGCTGCCCCTTCGACTATTCTCAAAGATGATCTGCTTGCCCCTCGGTTAAAACCTGCATTGCCTCACCATCGAATGGTCCATGCTCTCGCATTGCTGTTGCTGCTTCCTTCATTGCTGGCTCCCAGTCATCAATAACCCACTTGCCACTCTTGTCCTGGGAGACATTCCACCACCTGAAGGGGGACGGGAGGGGTGTGCATTGCATCGTCTCTCACTCCTTCCTGGAAGGGAAATCCAGTTGGCAGAGCAAACCTCAAAAGAGAAGACGACCTCCTCTCCCATCTCCCATGCTCTGTTCTCACTCGTAGTAAGGCCCCTTGAAGAAGGGAGCGACGTCTTCCGGGATCGGACCAGATGCCCTATTCGGTGCGTTGATGTAGGTGACCTGCGCCACAGTTCAGATGAGTGGGTTGGTACTAGCCGAGAATGATTCTGGCATGCTACACCTGGCGATAAGGGCATCGCACCTCGATCAAATCTTCCAACTCCTTGTCCAAGCCCACGCGCTGCATCTGTTTGTGGTTGGGGTGACCATGGGTTGGAGCCTGCGCAGAGCAGGACCTAATACCCGATTCCGACAGTGCATCATCGCTACCTGCTCCTGGAATATGCGGGAGCTCGTCCTGAAGCTGTGGAACGCCAGGACTCGGAGTTTGCGGGCCATAGCTCTGGCCACCGAAACCTCTCGCACGCTCGAAGTACCCGTCTCAGGTCTGCACCGTCATCGCAAAAACCTCAATCGCACTTTCGACCGATCCAGAATTCACAGCTATATAGTCCTGCGCCTGCAATTGGGTAATCGTCTCTCGGGGCAGCATTTATGCAAGAGCGACCCGAGACCGTGCTGCGTCATGCTGTAAGACCCCGCCCAGAACCTATGGGCGATAGAACCTGTCGATTCCTTGACGAAAAGCTCATATATTGCGCATCATATTCCTCTGAGGATCACTTGATATCTTGCAAAGGCCATTGGGACTGTGCATCCGAGGCGGGGTCCATCGACACACGACGCTGGCCCCACTCCGAGAGAGCTCCAGGGTGACACCAGACCTCGCATGGCGACCAAGAAATGCCCCTTCAGCGGCATGTCACTGAAGGAGAAGACCGTGCTCCCAGGCCAGTCATCTGGTGGCGCTTCAGACCTGGACCATCCTGCAGCTTCGGGACGTGTGGCAGGCGCAGATTCCCGAGACCCTGCCACCACCATTCCCCCCCCCGCCTCCTCTGGCTGCCCCTTCCGGCGCTTCATGGGTGGCGCCAAGGAGACATCGTCTCCCGTCCCTGACCCCTCTCGGACCCCCAGCGAGCGGGGGAATGGTAACAAGGAGGCGGGCAACCCTCCCCAGATCAGCGTCAAGGCTGCCGCGCAAGCCGCTGGGTGCCCCTTTCACTCCCAGATCCCGGAGCAGGCCGAGGCGCCCAAGGCACCTGGGAAATGCCCCTTCCTGGCCTCTGGCGGCGCACAGCCCTCCACGCCTGTGGGCAGCGACGCCCCCAAGTGTCCCATGGGCTTCTCCTCGGAAGTCCAGCAGAAACTGGGCAGCTTCCACTGCGTCCTGTGCAAGTACGACGAGGGCGGATGTGACGTGGGATGAAGACATGGTGGTGGTCCAAACCCATGCGGTCTGCGGTCTTTGAGTGTTCTGACGGGAGTGCTGGCATAGGCCCACGGCTTACAGCACTGGCGTTCTTCTCACCGCAATCTCCTTCGACAGCATCCACTCGTCGCTCCAACCCCTTCATCCCAGGTCTCTCCTGCACGACTGTGTGCGCACGGCGTGTCGTCATGAGTACTGCCGCGCCTGCATCGAGCGGTACCATGACTGCCCCATATGCGGCGCCGACGCCCAGCCCCTGACTGCCGCCCCGGATGTCCAGGGTAGGGTTTCCTGAGGGGTGGTCTGGGAGAGGGGGCTTGCCCATCGTTGCAGCAGGAAGGCCCATACCAGTTTGCCTGAAGTAGCCTGTGCCGCTCAACAGTGCGCCGCAGAACCTTACCTTCATCGCGGGCAATGCCTGGAACATCTCCCGCAGGGCACGTGGAGGCGTACATTGAGGCGCATGGCGACAGCCACTCCATCTGGGAGCTGGAGGGTCTGGCCGGCGACGCCGGCGCCGATGAGCCGCGCGGCCGCGCCAACTTCCTCCTTCAGCTGGGCCTTCGCGCGCTGGCGGGCGGCAACCTGCCCTCCGGCGAGCACCGGCTGACGCAGTGCCGCGGCGTGCTGCAGGCTCAGATGGCCAACCGCGCCGCGCGGCGCGAGGCTGGGGGTGGGAACGGCGTGGTTTGCGACGGCGAAAGCGCTGCGAATGAGGTCGGGATGGGGGTCGCGGCTGGCGACGCGCAAGAAAGGGCCGCCGCCGAGGCGAGGAGGGCGAGCGCCAGCGAAGAAGACGCGGCCGACGCGTGTGCGCTGGCCACTGTGCAAGGCTGCCTGGGCGACTGCGCGCGCGCGCAGGGCCGGACCGAGGCGGCGCTGGACGCCTACCTGGCCAGCGCGGCGCTGCTGGGGGACGCGGGCGGGGCGGAGGCGCGGCAGACGCTGTCGGTGACGCTGAACAAGGTGGCGGAGCTGTACCACATGCAGGGCCGGGTGGGCGAAGCGCTGCCCTTCTACACACGGGCCCTGGACCTGCGCGAGCGCCTGCTGTGCGACCTGGAAAGCGAGAACGACAGGGTGGACGGGGGGAGCACGCCCCCCGGCTGGGCGCCCGCCGCGCTCTCTGCGCTCACGGGCATGGTCAAGACGGCGGACGCGCATGCGGCGGCGGGTGACGGCGCCGGCGCAGAGCGACTACTGGGCCGCGCCCGGGCGCTGCTGGGTCGGCTGGAGGCGGGGCGCGGCGACCTGGCGCCGCCGCAGCTGCAGCGGCTGGAGGCGCTGTCCCAGTTTGTGGCCCAGCGGGGTGTCTGACGAGGCTGTTGGACTACATCCAAGGCTGCGGTTGTGGTCCTGCGTCGCTGCTCCCGCACCTCCTTGCCATGACATCTTCCCATCAGCCAGTCTTTCCTGTACCACCATCGCCTGCTGGCGTCGCCCCTCTGCTCCGCATCCCCCTGGCCCCCTGAATGCCTCAATACCTGACCCAACCTTCCTTCATCCAGTACAGATTCTACAAGGACAGGGGAGCATTCATGCCAGCTCGCGTCCCAGGGGGTACACCACTCCGAGGATACATTCTTCGAGTGCACAGGGTGCGACGGGGTGCCACGCGGGCGAACCCCCCCGTGGCCTCAGGCCGCGACGGCGGGCGGCGCGCGGGGCGCCTGCGACACGTGGGCAAAGGCGGGCCAGACGCTCTCCTCGTCCCGCCCCTCGCGGGCCTCCGGCAGCGCGGCCAGCGCGCCCAGCGCGGCCAGTGCGCCGCCAAGGTCCAGCGTGCCTGCCAGGCGCGCGCGCTCGAGGCGCGCGCCGGCGGCCTGCCCCGCCACCGACCCGGCGATGGTCAGCAGCAGGGCCCAGTTGGGGAGCAGGACCGCCTTGCGCAGCATGGCCACGAAGGGCACGGCCACGTGCACCGCCGCGAACCAGGCGGGGGAGAACTTGGCGGTGTGCTCCCGCGCTGCGCCGGCCGGGACATTGCCCAGCGCGGCCACGGCGGCCAGCGCCGCTCCGCGCACAGGCAGCGCCTGCGGGCGCAGGCCGCGCACCGCGCCCAGGCCAGCCACGAAACCGCGCATGCGCGTGATGGCGGCCGGGCAGCGCAGGTGGCCGGAAGCCGTGGTGGGCAGCAGCGCGGCCAGCGGGCCCAGCGCGGCCAGCGGGCTGGCGCCGGAGTGGCCGGCCACGCCCGAGGCGGACAGGCGCGGCGCGCGGGCGCTGCCCTTGATGCCGCCGGCGCGCGGGCCGTGGGGTTGGCGGCCCTTGCGCCCGGAGTCCCGCCGCCGGCGCAGCCGCGTCAGGAACTCCGAGGGGTCGGGCTGCGGTGTGACGAGGAGGGTGTTTGCGGGGTGAGAGGTGGCATGACGGCGGCAGCACTTGCTCCATCTTGTGGCAACATGTGACCAAAGGCACTTGGAGCAGAGGCGTTGCCGTGCTGGGCAAACCATCCTGAGCCTCCGAGTGCAGCGAGACGAGGTGGGACCAGAGCCCCTGGCGGACCTCACACCACGGCCTTCCTCGTCCAAGGCCCCCATGGATTACACATCCGTGCCCTGATCCAGACTGCACAACACCACGTGACGAAGTGCCTGCACCCCATCAGTGCTGCACAACCTCCCACTCACCAGCTTCCCGAAGCCTGAAATGCTCATGGAAGCTACCGGCAGCCCGCTCAGCGAAGGCTGTGGCGCGGATGGAGCGTCGCACCCCCTGCTCGGCTGCGCCTTGGGCTGCGCGTGGGAGCAGCTGCCCGTCGTCCTCGCCGTCGACGGGGCCAGAGGCATGACACCTCGCGCCCCGTGGAACATGGCGAAGGCAGACTGGAAGGACATGGCATCCTCCGGGAAGAGGGGGGACGATGGTCCGCAATCTACAACGGGTTTCAGTGGGTTTATCGCCAGGCGCACGGCAAACTCCTGGCCCTGCGTGGCAGCTACTCTGCGGAGGAAGGGGCAGGCTGCCACCCCTTCCCTGACCGCGGCGTCGCACATCTTTGGGTTGAACCTTGGAACTTCAGGTCGTGGGTGATGCGGTGAATTAGCGAGTGACTCTTTGGTAGGTTCCGGCTGGACCAGCGTATGTAAATGCAAGTCGCTGTTCACCTCTCCCCAAAATATCGCCTGGAGGTTTGACCCCGGCTGACCACCCGTCGAATACAAGCACACGTCCGCACACTCCAGGGTTGTTTGGTAGGATTGGAAGGTGTCGTGAGAATGTACCACGGCCCGAGCGTGGATGAATCACATCATGGTCCTTGGCAATAGGGCACCAGCACAGGACCCGAGGCCAGACTTTGTACTCAGAGATTCTCCTATGGAGGCACCAGAATCTCCAGTTTCAGGTGCTACTCAAGCTTGGTATGGATTTCGTTTTATTGAAATGCCGAGCAGCACTTACCTTTGTTTGATCCCAAGAGAGGAAGAGCAGTGGTCAACAGTGACAGGACACAGACTCCAGTGCCGGCCGATCGGTGGTGTGACACCGTATGTCCCCATCAAAATCTAGACGAAAGGGCGTGCATACAGTCTGCGTATTCGAATGATCTCTTGATGACACAAAGCTCACGCTCAGCATGTAAGTGAACAAGTCTGCCCATTCTTCCTTGATCTGCTGCCGTGACTGACGACTCGAGACTCTCGCTGGCAAGAGTCTCGCGCAACACTCACACCCCCAAAGAAAGATCAGAGACGAACTCAATGAAATAGCACTGTGATAGATGATGGTCTGGAAAGGTCCACTGCCACCGGCGTGGGTGGTCTTCCTGATCATCCTGCTCAAGGAGTTGCTGGACGCCTTTCTGCAGTGGTGGCTGGTGCGAAGGTCATCGACCCTGTCTATTGGACATCACCTCGTCATCTCTAATGGCCCCGATTCGTTGTCACATGTGCATGCTCGCCATGCAGGTGCCCGACACCGCTCGCCGGCAACTGGAGTTGATGGCATCCCTTCCGGTCCTGCGTGCCGAGATCGCGCGCCTGAATGCCCCCCAGACATTTGTGCAGTGCGCCAAAGCGGAGCGTAAGCTCTTGATCATGGAGCGCGAGCTGGAGCGCCTGGCTGAGGTGGAGGTGCGCTGAATTCCCTTGGCTTGGAGAGGCTTGTCAAGCCCTTCAGCCCCCTCAGAAAGGCATTGTTGCATCACCCTCACAGGCAGCAGCGACAAAACATCCAGCCTTGCGACTTCCAAGCCTCCTCAGCATCCTGCTCGGCCTATACATCTCGTGGACCCTGTTGAGAGGCTTGCCCCTGAACGGCTCGCTGGAGCTCCCCGCCATCGGCTGGCCAGTTCTTCGGACTGCATTGTCAAAGCCAGGTGGACCATGGAGAGCAGGGCGATGTGTTTGTGACATTTAATAAAGAGATGAAAGCTCACTTCTTCGTCTTTAAGGGCTGCGCAGTACGACTACTTCATTGCCCCAACATGTGCCCCTCCTCGAAAGGCTTCCGGAGTTTAGCAACCTGGGTCCTGCTGAGCCAGCGCTCGGTGCGCCTGGCAGTCAGAGGCTTTGCAGATGTGGCAGGAGTCATGCGGAGACTTTCATGAGGCTGCTACCTATACCAAAGTATCTCCACAAAGGGATGATGCAGCAGGCGCAGCCTACACAGCCCGGAGGCCATGCCCATCCTGATGGAGGAGCTGACAAGGATATGGGACCTGCGTCACAGACCCCTAGTGACCTACTCGAACCCCCCATCCTGCCACTGGTCAGCCAGGATCAAAATGTCTCTCAGTGGCAGGGGTGCTACTGAATCCAAGTTGTGCTCCAGTATCATATGAGCAGCCACTCTGGTTGCTGGAGGCCACCTCCGGCTGCAATACAGTGGTGGGAGATCTTCAATTAAATGCTCAGGCCCTCCCTCAGTCTCTACCTGCCCTTTGCTTGCAAGGGCAAGCAAATCGTCAAGAGGGGACTTCAGTGGTGGTCGGGTGTGGACAGGCTTGTGACGATGAATACAGCAGGGCTCCCTACTAGTACATGCTGGGTTGTACAGCTTAAAAATTCAAGAGCTACAACGTAGCTCCTTTCATCTGGTGTTTGATCAAAAGGGATCAGCTTGCCTAATGCAGAGCGCATTCAACGTGTGGATGTACATCCAAACAGAGCATATCGTTGTGAGACGCACAGGGAAGATTCAAACCGGCTCGTCTGCCACTGGCGCACATTCAATGTCTGGAACACTGGGAGCTCGCTGATATTGCGATTTTTATTCGCAAGCTGGAATCCTCGAGGGGCCTGCTATTCTGAGGATCACGACTCCTGGCGCATGCTGCGCATTGCCGACCTGCTGCGCGACTCGGATCGTTCGTAGACCTGCCAATAACGCTCACCTGCAGCGCATGCCGCAACATCCCTCTGTGGCAATGAAGTGATCAACGTTAGGATCTTGCCTTACATTGATTAATGCGTTTGCTGTGCTTCCGAACGGCAGCCATGCGACCACCCGGTCCCGAAAGATGACGTTGGCCCGGGCAACTCGTCTGCTGTGTCTGAGGCTGAGTCGGACCCTTCGACGCACCTCCGAGATGGCAAATTGGGACGTGACAAAGCTGGATGTCTTCAAGTACCTGCGCTGCCTCCGGCACCTGGGCAAGGCCATGCTGCTCGTGGTCTTTGCCCTGGCCTGGCTGGAGGTGCAGGCCGTGTTCTCATGCAGCCTGGCACCGGCCTGGAGGCAGGGCGGCCTGATCATGCGCGCGCTGGTGGGGATCACGGGCGCTGTCTTCCTTGCAATGGTGAGTTTGCCGGCCTGGCAGGGCCTCTCTGGCGTGCCAGACGGGTATCGGGCATGGCCGCTTCCCAGCCTGGATGCCTTTGGGGCCACAGACTGATTTGGGCAGACCGTGCATTTTGTACCTTGCATGAAAAGCAGAGCCTCACCCCTGCACAGCCATGACCACGGCCCCGTGGGGCATCTGCCCTCTGCAGGAGGTGGTTGGCAGGCCCACACATGCATGCCAACATGCGAGCAACCTCAACCCCTGCACCCCATGACCTCACGCCTATGCAGGTGGCCCTCCTGCTCTGGGCCTACCTGGCAACCTTTGCTGCCAACCCGGGACTGGTGCCCCCTGGCTGGCAGCCTTTTGAGCTCGACGAGGTGGGTTGTTTGTTTCGCGCGGTGGGGATTCCAGCTGGAGAGGGGATTTGATGTGTGGCGATGTGAACTACTGCGCGAAGGACATGCAAAGAAATCGAGTAGCTCAGGACTACGAGGTCAATGTAAGCGCGCTGGCCCCAGCAAGCCTTGGAGGCAGGGGCGAGGGGGTCCGTGCGCCGTGGCCAGCCTTTGCTCCGCCCCTCGGTGGTGGCCCTCTGAATCAGGCCCCCTCACTCCCTCCCTTCCTCCCGGCCGTCGAGAGCAGGAGCAGCAGGTCGGGAGCGCAGACCTGCAGGCCCTGGCCGACGACTTCACCGAGCTCATCCGGGACTCGGAGGACCCAGTGCAGTGGCACCTGCTGCGCCCCCGCTTCTGCAAGAAGTGCGCGGCCTGGAAGCCGCCGCGGGCCCACCACTGCCGCATGACGCAGCGCTGCGTCCTCAAGATGGACCACTGGTGAGTGCGTGGGTGTGGACTAGACTGCTCTTGGCTTGTTTGTTCTCAAGCGTGCGGCAGGTGCCTGATTGTGTGAGCGGTGCGGGGATGCCCGCGTCATGCTTGAAGGCCGGATGGCCTTGCATGAACTCTGGCCTGGCCCTGTGCCAATATATCTGATGCACTGCCTGTGGCCCCCCTCAACCTCAACCCTATTCCCACGGTCCCCTTCCCCCTCCAACAAGGTGCGTCTGGGTGCTCAACTGCGTGGGTCTCTTCAACTACAAGTTCTTCGTCCTCTTCCTTGGGTACACCGACGTCGCCTGCTGGATCAGGTGAGGAGGTAGGGGCCATGTCGCCCGTGGGTGCAGCCCAGCATGCGGCTGAGGCACCTCTGACTGGAAGCAGGGCACTCCAGCTCCCCGCCCCGCTTTCCTTTCGCAGCGTGATCCTGCTGCTCGGGCCCACGCTGCGCCAGTTCAGAGGCACGGCCGGCCCGCTGAGCACGCTGCTGCTGGCCTTCACAGCCTTTGTCTTCGCAGCGGCGTTCTCGCTGGCCCTCCTCGCCTTTCTCATCATGCACCTGCGCCTGATCGCCCGCAACCAGACCACCATCGAGGCCTTTGAGAAGGCGCCGGTCAAGTGAGCCTGGTGGGGGAAGAAGGGCTTTTGTGGTAGGGGGACCGAGAGGGGAAGGGGGATACTGCCGCCATTGCAGCGTAGGCTTGCGGTGCCTGCAGCAATAGCCACGAGGTTGTCCAGCCAGAAAAATCAAACACATCGATGTGCTCCTGGGCTGAAAGCATCTCCCTTCCACCTCAACATGTTAGTGCTGATATGTCCGCCTCCCTTCCTTATTACTCCTCCCTGTGTTCCATCCATTACAGACCCTGGCCGTACGACCAGGGCTGGCGGCGGAACTTCCTGGAGGTGTTTGGGCGCCAGAGGCAGTACTGGCTGCTCCCGCTGCACCCCGCCGCGGATGCCGAGGCCATGCGACGAGCCTACCTCGAGTGGACCCTGCCTTGGCCCATCGACAGCGGGCAACTAGATGATCACGCCGGTCTCGAGATGTCACAATCATACTAGGCGCCCTGAAGTGGCAGCGTCTCGCAGTATGGGTGACGGAATCGTGGCGTATCTAATGCTCCTGGCTCCTTGAACCCCCAGCCCCTCTGCGCTTGACGCTCTGCTGTTTATCGTCGACTTGGATTCATGTACAGAATTGCACAGGACATTGCCGTGTGGTATGTGCAGTCTCAGCCGCCCCGACTCAGGAAGCCTGACTGAAGCGAGTCCTTGTCATGCAAGCCGAGCTGGCATGATAGGTGACGGGGTGAGTGTCTTCGCCAGGCCGCCAAGGTTCTTGGTTGGCCATGTCACCCAGCACCGAAAACTGCAACAAGGGGCAGCACGGGCTTTTAGGCATCGCTGCCACCCCACACCTCGCGCTTGGGGCGCTTGGCAAAGTCATCGGCGTGCTCATACTCCATCACCCTGCGATAAGAAAACATAATGGAGTAAGGGTGGGTTCCCTGCTGGCCAGTGAGCCGGGTGGGTTGGTCGATTGGATTCAATAGCAATGCCTCCGATAGAGGTGCAACGAGTGACACCCAGCCCTCGACTCACGCCCGCGCACACTCACGTCACGGAGTATATGGCATAGGGCACTAGGAGACCGAAGGTCAGGACCTGCGTCATGGTCTTCCTGTCCCACTTGAACTCCTGCTCGATGAGCTCACGGCGCGTCGCCCACTCCTCCACGAACTTGTTCGGCTTCACCGGCAGGTTGCCGGCAAACCGGCGCTGCTGATACTGGAGGGCGGTCCGTGCCACACCCAGACCCTGTCGTAGGATGTTCGCCATGGCCCTGATCCGGGTCCTCGCTGGCAGGAGTTGGGGGTGGGCACCAAACACCGCCAGACCTGGCGGATAGCTGGAGTCGCGTGGCAGCCGCAGTCCCGAAATTTTGATGAAAGTATCCTTGGTTGGGATATTTTGCCGTGTGAAGAAACTAGGAGCCGGCCTGTCACATCGTTGGCTCCCGGCGAGGATCCGCTGCAGACGATGGATGTGTGAGGGGCGCCCTAGTCATTTCCAGACGGGGCAGGCACAGCATGTGAGCCGTCCCCAGGGCAACATCGGGGGGATCTCCAAGGAGCCAGTTGAATTCGAGTCTATACGACTTGAGATGCTGAAAGGTTCAATTCTCTTTGCAAAGGTGCGGCCTGTGCAGTGCAGCAAGTCCTGCCCCTCACAGCGGCACATTCCCGTGCTTGCGCCAGGGGCGCGTGGCCTGCTTGTCCTTCAGCACCTCCAGCTCGGCGCACAGGCGCCGGCGGGTGTCCTGGGGGGCGATGACGTCGTCGATGAAGCCGTACTTGGCTGCCTGCATAGGATTGCTGAACTTCTCCTCGTACTCTGCGGTCTTGACCTCCTGCTCCTCCTGAGACCTCCCCCTGCAGGCGGGCAGCGGTGTTGGAGCGTTGGGGATCTGAGGGGTTTGCCTTAGCCCTTGCATGCTACAGGGACAGGAGCCTTGACCTGTGGCCACACTCATCAATTCTGTGCAGTACAACAGGCTGAAGCATGGCGCTGTCCGCAGGCATGAGACGGGATTCCACAGGCACCGATCTGGTTTGCCGGGGCAGTGATCACGCCCAACCACACCCTCATGATGACCACTGGAAAGGCTCCTCCCACCCAACCCCCCCAGCTCCCTTGCACCCACCTGAAGAGGATCTCGACGGCACCCTTGGCGCCCATCACTGCCACCTGGCCCGTAGGCCACGAGAGGTTGGTGTCCCCCCGGAGGTGCTGTTGGAATGAGCAATGAGGGGGCCAAGTGAGGCACGGGCGGTCGGGGCGCGGCAGCGGGACAACCGCCTCTGCATCGCCCCATCGGCGTGATGCGTGGCGGATCGAGCCAGGTACCCACTCCAACACGTCCCATGACAGCCCAAGGGCTCAGGCTGGTCCTTGAGAATCACAATGCCCGTCCGCGAGGATCTCACCTTGGAGCTCATGACGTCGTAGGCACCGCCGTACGCCTTGCGGGTGATCACAGTCAGCTTGGGCACGGTGGCCTCGGCATAGGCGTACAGCAGCTTGGCCCCGTGCCTGGACAGAGGGCACCAGGGGAGTCTGGGGTTTCAGGATTGGAGGCCAAGCAGGCGAGGCAGGAAGCAGATTCCAGGGCCAGCACCAAGCCTGGAGCATAGTGCTGCTCAGGCTGCATGAGAAACCAATGCCATGGGCGCCGCCGCAAACCTCCCCACCCAGCACACCTGATGATGCCACCGTACTCCTGGGCGGTGCCGGGCAGGAAGCCGGGCACGTCCACAAAGGTCACCAGCGGGATGTTGAAGGCGTCGCAGAAGCGCACGAACCGCGCCGCCTGCAGGGAGCATGGGGGTAGGGCCAGTGCCCAGCGAGCAATGTGGTGCGGGCCTAGGCCGGGGACGACAGACTCCAGCATGGCTTGATGCGATCGACGACATCCGGTTGCCTCAACACTGAAATCTCCCCTTTCCAGCAACCGATCCCCCTCTCAAGCACCTTGACGGAGGCGTCGATGTCCAGGCAGCCGGCCAGCACGGCCGGCTGGTTGGCCACCACGCCCACGCTGCGCCCGCCCAGCCGCCCGAAGCCGACCACGATGTTCTTGGCGTGGTCGGCCGCGATCTCGAACAGCGCACCGTCGTCCAGGACCTGCGCCAGCACGGCGTGCATGTCGTACGCCTCCGCATCTGAGTCCGGGACCAGGTAGTTGAGCGCCGGGCAGGAGCGGGTGGGGGGGTCGCGCGAGGGGACTAGGGGCGCGGCGTGGCGGTTGGAGGGGGGCAGGTACGACAGCAGGTCCCGCATCGCGCTCAGCGCCTGGGGGGGTGGTGTGTGGGTGGGCATGGGTTGGCAGGTTCGGGAGGGGTGGGTGTCTGACTGGGGTACAGGAGTCGTGTAGCTGCTCAGGGTGGGGGCGGCGCACTTGGGGGGAGGCGTATACTCCCCGGGGCAGACGCGCCGCAGATACTTCTCTGGTGGCCGGATCTCACCCCAATATCACCACGCACGGCCCCCAGACCACCCCACCTCCAGCTCGTCGTCAAAGGCGCCCGCCGCCACGCCCGACTTGCTACTGTGCGTGCCGGCGCCGCCCAGCGCCTCCTGCGTCACCACCTCCCCCGTGACAGATCTCACCACCTCGGGCCCGGTGAGGAACATGTAGGAGGAGTGGCGGACCATGAAGGTGAAGTCGGTGAGGGCGGGGGAGTACACGGCGCCGCCAGCGCAGGGGCCCATGATGAGCGAGATCTGTGTGAAGTGGGGGGGGGAGGAAGAAGATAGAGGGTCATGTGCAATGGCGATGGGGGCTGCACAGCCTGGACATTTCCCATCTATAAGTGTCCCCACACCCTTCCATGACACGCAAGGGCGGGTCGGACTGGACCCTGTCCAGAACAAGAGGGGCGAGTCGAAGGATCCAGCATCGAACATCAAACGCCACAAAGCCACAGGCGGGCACCCGCAACCTCGCACTCTCAACCCTCCAGGACAGAATTACCAAAATGGCACCTGTGGGATGACCCCGGAGGCGTCCACATTCCGCTGGAACACCTCGGCATAGCCGCCGAGCGACAGCACGCCCTCCTGGATGCGCGCGCCGCCGGAGTCGTTCAGGCCGACGATGGGCGCGCCCGCAGCCACCGCCCTGTCCATCAGCCGGCAGATCTTGAGGGCGTGCGACTCTGACAGGGACCCGCCATGCACCGTGAAGTCCTGGCTGAATACGAAGACGGGGCGGCCAAACACCGTGCCAGACCCCGTGATCACGCCGTCGCCTGCATGCGGCGGAGGGCAGGAGTTCAAATGGAGGACCCAACCTTAGAGGCGTCGAGATCAGGAGCGTCAGATCACGGCCGGGCGCCGTGGGGTCACCCCGCCACCGACCCAACCCACCATAGTACTGCTGGGACTCCATGTCAAAGTCGGTGCAGCGGTGCTGGACCAGGGATCCCGCTTCCACGAAGGAGTCGGGGTCCAGGAAGGCAGCAATGCGCTCGCGGGCGGTGAGCTTGCCCTTCTCATGCTGCTTGGCGATCCGGGCCTGGCCGCCCCCAGCCTCCGCGGCCTGCTTGGCAGTCACGATGCGCTCCCACTTTTTCTGCGCGATGAAGGGGAGGGGAGGTCAGGTGCAGCCAAATATCGAAGTGCCATCGACCAAAAGGACCGCATACCATCATCATCGCAACTCACGTTGTCCAGAGTGTACACAGGGAGTTCCTCGAACTCCGCCAAGCTTGCGCTCCAGCGTGCCGCGCCCTGTCACAGGTTTGGACGCTTCATCGTCTCTGGGTTGTAGATTACGTATGTATCACTTGACTATATATTTGATCCGAAACGTACCGTGAGAGCGGGCAGGAGTGCTTTGGTGTGTCGGGACGCCCTGCTCGCGGCCCGCACCAGCTGCAACATGATGAGCTGTGCGCAAGAAGCTACGATGTATCCTGTCACTACCAAAATATAATATCGACTGGATACGAGCTATGCTGGGGTCGGTGATGGCCTGTCGCATCTTCAGGTCGTGGACAGCGGGGTGTCGGGGTCCGGTATACGGGGCTCGAGGACAAGCAGATTTTCTAGGCCGTCACCTACAGCAGAAACGAAAGGGACCACTTATTATTTCCTGGTATGCAGGCTTCGAGTTGATTATTGATGTTTTATATTCAAAAGAGTTTACCAATCTACATTCGGCTCTGGCAAAAGGCCCACAGAGGAGACTGTTGTCTTGCTGACTTCGCCTGCATGATGATGATCAGATCGACGACCGGGATCCAGTATATGGGTGTCATCGATCAAGGGTTCCATGACCGGTATTGGGTATCGAGGGAAGCCGCATGGACGGGCTCGTTGGCGTTCCGGGAGAGCCGGCTGTCGGGCGAATCGAGGGGTGTGGAGCCCCGGCCTCCCAACCTCTCATACGAGACTTTGCACCTCATGACACTCATGGTCAATCATCAGAGATTGTTGTCCTCTTGAAACCTCCTACAGCCTTGATTAATATTGGCCTTTGCATGCGGATCGCTTTCGACTCCGATGGTTGGTGGCAAGGGTGATGAACCGCCGAGGGAGGCTGGGTACCCAGACAAGAGGCGACGCATGCCGACCATAGGTGCCGGGGAGACCCGCGCGTGCTACAAGCATACATGCCGCATCCAAAAGTGCCTCAGCGAGACCAACTACGACAACGCTGCGTGCAGCTGGGCCATCGATGCCCTGAAGGCCTGCTGCGAGAAGTATGGCAAGGACAGCATCCACTGCGCCTTTCCCAAAGACGCATGAGCACAGGTTTCCTAGAGGCGTTCATGAACGTCCTCCTGGGAGACGTTGGCCCTGGTCCGTCAGCGTCCTTGTCCGAAATTGGCCTCCCAAGTTTACCCTGTGGCCTGACCCAACAGGCCTGAATGTATGGCACTCCTGCTGATCTCCATGGCGGTGACGTCTTCCCAACATGCTTTCTTCATTCTTACACGGTGTAAACATTCGCTTGCTCTCTGAGCAAGCAATGAGCGTGGCAGGCTGGTGTGGGCGGCCTGGGTACACTGACCAGCGCATCACCTGCCCGACCCTGCCTGGAGGTGCTGCTTGAAGGCTTGCAGCTGCGCTCCCAGCCTCCGCTCCGCCCGCATCAGCTCCTGGTGCCTCCGGAACCTGCGCACCGACCTGAAGTAAGCCCCGAACCCCGGCCCAGGCCCTTGCACGGCTGCGCATAGTCCAGCTTCAGTATCGTCGCCTGGGCGGGAGCCGGCCCTTTCACCAGCGGCCGCAAGCCTGGCCGCCACTGCATCCTCGTCCTCGCCACCGCGCTTCCTCGGCCCCGCCTCCTGCTGCCGCGCTTTCCTGGGCAGGGGCGGCGCAGGGCGAAAGCCGCCCGTGGCCGTGGAGTAGCGCTGCGCCAGCTCGGCGGGCGAGGCGGTGGGCGGCAGGACCGAGCTCTGCGCCACGCCGCCCGCCAGGTCCCGCGCCAGCTGCGCCACGGCGGGGTGGTAGTGGCGCTGAAGCAGGCTGAGCTCCCAGAGGGGCACCGCCAGCGCCCCTGCCTCGGCGGGGTCCTCCACGTCGGGGCGGTAGGTCCTGTACCCCGAGGGGCCCCCCGCCTCGTTCTCCAGCGCGGCGCGCAGGCGAGGCACGCGTCGGAGCAGCCGGTGCAGCACGCACAGCATGCCCAGTGCGGCGCCGGGGTCGCGCACCGCCCCCGCCGCGCTGGCGAGGCGCTTGGCGAAGGCCGCCTGGCGCGAGGCGTCCAGCGCGCGGCGGTCCAGCAACATCCCATCCAGCAGGCTGGCCAGCAGCGGCGCCAGTCGGCCGGCGGCGGCGCGTCGCCGCTGGGGACGGGGGCCTCGCCCG